GCCGTTTGTCCGTCAGGGCCCAGTGGGGAGGAAGGAGGACGATCCTGCCCCAAAGAGCAGAGTCACAGGCTACAGTTTCTCTCCACTCCAGGCAGGTCCCGCAAAGGTGAAGGCTGGTTGCAACGAATGGCGGGTGGACTTGTCCTGACAGCTCACAGCTTCTCAGGAAGCCGTCCTTTTGTTGTCGCGTCACGGGGGGAACAGACTCCGTCAGAGAGAGCAAGGGCAGGTGCTAGAGCTGCATCCTGGATCAAGTGCCAGGCTGGTGGGGACGGGCGGGGCGGCCGTCAGCCCTCCTCAGTGGGGCCTGCTGTGTGCAGGCCTGGCAGGGCCCCGGACCAGCGGCGGGGGCTGGGCTGACCACATACCAGTACCCGTCCATCTTTTAAAGACGCAGGACCCAAAGGGAAATCACACCCTTTCATTTCAAACATGGCCCGGGAGCCCAGAGCCCAGTGGCTGGGGCATCAGTCAACTTTATAACCAAGTCTCCTTTTTTTTTTCAGCACTTCATACCTTCTCCTATGCCTTCACATACGTGTCTCATTCAGTAACCCAAGAGACAAACACTGCTGACGGCCTTGGAAAATAGCAGCTCCAGGAGAAATTCCTTTTCCCTTATTCAGCGGCAGTCCAGTAAACAAAGAAAGCCCAGTGACAAAGTTGTGTTCACTTGGGAAACTCTAGGTCCAGCAAAAGGGGATAGTCCCGGGAGTCGCTCACCAAGTCGTCTTTCCCGAGGGAGAGAACCCCGCTTAATCTTTAGAACTCCAACTGTGTTGGATATGTAATCAATAGAGTTTACCATCAAACCAGGTCGCTGAACCAGTGACCAGTTCAAGACAGCCTAGACTCAGCAGGAATTGCAAATTCCCCAGCAGACCCTGTTAGAGCCCAGTGGAGGTGGCCCCTTATTGTTTTTCTCAATAAAAGACTAAAAAGCTGTCTGCATGTTTTGAAGGCATCGACAGCCACCCGAAGAAACAGGACTGCTTATGACTCCATCTAATAAGCGCCTGGCAACCATCAGCCTCTCTAATTGCCATGTGAGTGAAGAGGTGGGAATTTTAACAAACAAAGTCGATTTCGAAGTGTTACTGGAAGATGAAAAATGTCACAGAAGCGCCTAGCCACGAGAGGCGAGCAGAGACGCCTGCTTCTCTCAGGACAGCATAATCCCGAAAGCCGACGGAAGCCGACACGAACCCTCCCAGCACCTGCCTCCTTGACACTCACAAAGAGACACGTCAGCTGCTCAGGAAACTACAGGTACCACTGAGACACCCCAGACCCTTTCCTTGTTGTCTACTCGGGCAGAAGAGGCGGCTTGGAGGCCCGGTGCCGAGAGTTCTGAGTGCCCCGTTCCCTTATATTCCAGGCCCTCTCGAAAGGGAAAGGAGATACGGGAATCCTTCCCACGCGGGTGCTCTCACAGTATTATTGTTACCCTCCCCCTCTACAGAGAGGAAACTAAGGCTCAGAGAGGTTATGAGCAGTGGGCGCAGGCCTAGGATTCAGGGCCCCTGTGACTCACAGTCCAGTGCTCTTGGGTCCTCCGGGAAACGAGGCCTACACCCTGGGCTCATCTTACGCAGATTAGGAGCAAGTGGCGTCATCTCAGGGCCTGACTCTCAGCTGGGGCCAACCATCGCGAGAGCTAACTAATGACAGGTGTGCCTCCCTACTGTTTATATTAAAGGGAACGAGCGCCCAGAATAGATGCTCCCCCATTTACCCCGGGGTTTCCTGGTCTGCAGGGCAATGGGATCTGGCTGACACTTCTCAGTGTTCCACACCCAACAAACCGGCTCTATTCAAAAAGGAAGTCCGGAGATGTGATCACCCCACTTATCTGCACACCTTGGTTGCTTCCAGAGGCCTTTCCTGCGCGTGACCTCACGTGACCACCTGGACCATCTGAGCGATACCTTAAATTGGTTTTTTGAAGATTCTTGAGTTTCCAGCAACCTTGTTGAAATATAATCCAAAGTACCCCCAGGAAGGGACAGCACTGTGAACCATTAGTGGTTTGCACTTGGCAGCCAGCTGAGAATCAGGCCCTGAGAAGTGGGAAAAAGGACTGGGAGGGTTTGGAGAGGGTCAAGAAGAGAAAGAAGCAAGAGAGAGAGGCAGGGAAGGTCTAAGCCCCTCCCAGCAGCTCACCTCCCAGTTTTGCAGAAAGAGGTTCCCGGGGAGCCATTCCTTGCTTCCCCACTCCCACCAGAGAGACCAACTCTGCCCACGGGGCCAAAGGTAGAAAAGTCTAGAAGAAAAAAGGAGACGTGGCAGGAGAGATGGGAAGAAAACACAGAATAAACCAACCATCAGAGGCTCTTCAATCTTAATTCATTTTATTCTACAAAATGCTACTCAATTGAAAGTGGAGAAGCTAACCAAAAAAAAAAGGAAAAAAAGTTGTAATATGTTCTCTCTTCCATAGCAGCAAGCTTTTTCTAACAAGCTTTCTTTAGTGCAAATACTGTAGGCTTGTATTACAGTAAAGTAACAAAACAGAACAACAACAACAAAACACCACCAGAGATGCTTTAGAGCAGAGCTACTCCTCAATTTTCAAAAGTATACAAAGATTTCTGAGCTCACAGTCCTGCCTGGAGAGGCCTATTTAGCAGCCTTTCCAATGGGACCATTCCACCAATACTTAAAAAAAGAAAGAAAACAAGGTGTTCAGAAAGATAAATTCCCCATCAAGCTGTAGGAATCTTGTACAACTTTTTTTTGCCTCCAGGATCTTATAGCAGTCTTTACACCACATCATCGACATACCTCAAATACAGATGCACAAAGCTTATGATTGTCTACTATATCCAAAATACTATATATACATCTCTCACTGCAGAAAAGACACCCTGATACCTATTCTTTATACAAAGGTGAAGATTTCCTTCCTCAATATCAAGTAACCACAAACTAAAAGAAATGGAATAAACTTTTAATCATACAGAGAAAATAATTTTTTGAGGAACAGGGCAGGTTCTCTTACAATGTAGACTTCTTGGTGACCCCTGTCCCTAGAGGAATGACAGTCCATCTTTCAAAACAGACCTTTTTTTATACAGTTTATACAGCACAAGTCACAAATCATTTTAGAAACAAAAGAAGTATCATTAGCCTAAATTTTTAAAAAAATTATAAAGAAGAAAGAGAGGGAGAGAGGAACTGAGCATTTTAATGCTATCTGTTTCTACTCAGGCTTGGTACAACACAAAGATGTAAACATTTAAAATAAATAATAAAATAAATGTCAATTTCTTCTCCCCCTCCCCTTCCCACGCCCCGCTCAAAATTTGACCCAGCTCCTCCTGAACATGTCAGCGTTAGAAAATTAAAACCCTTTTTGATGTATGACCAAAATACTAGAAGCATGAAAAGATGTCAAATAGGTAGTGGGGTGACTGGGTTTCCTTTTTAAAAGGTGCAGGAGGACATGGGCACACTTGGAAATGTACACACGAACACACACACACACACACACACACACACACACGACCTGTCAATAAATAGTGAGATGCTGGCTTTTAAGATGAATGCCAAGAAGACTCAACAAGCAGAAAATAGCAAGACCCCTTTACTTAAGTTTTTAAAAGAAAGTTACACACACCACGTATCCTATTGGTCCACAAATTCTATAAAACTCAGGTCAACCATCTGAAGAGTGCAAAGGAGCACATCCCAGGGAAAACAAGTTTAGAGGTGGAAGGATATTGTAGGGGATGGGTCTTTGAGAACAAACCTCGGACTGAAGGCAATCTTGCCTCGGATCTTTGGAGAAAGACCTTCTCACCTCCAAGTGTTTTTGTTTATTCATTACTTGTGGGCTTTTAATAAGGGAAGTCCTCATGGCTCAGTCTCACCCTAAAGAAGGTATATATATATATATATATATATATATATATATATATATATATATATATATATATAAGTGCCTAACACATCGTCTGGCACATAGTAGGTGTTATTCTTTTCCTTCTTAAAGAGGCCACGTGGATGTCTCATCAGAGGAGGAAATCAACCTGAAAGTTACAAGATGAGACCGCAAGAAGCACTGGTGGTCCATCAGGGAAATGGGAGAAAAGTCCCAATGCCTGGAAGTTGAGCTCATCCTTAAAATGGAGCCATGTGGGAGCAGAGAGGAGACTCCTTTCCCCAAAGCCTGAGAAAGGGAACCAGTAGCCTCTGATGGTTCTTGGCGTTGAGATGCTTGTGTTATTGGGCACAGTGAAGACACCTGGCCTGTCTCACAGGCAGAACAATGACTTCTTTCTGGAAACGTCCTCAGTGAACTCTCTGCTTTGAGTTGGCTCTGGCAATCGCCTGAACTTCACCTGGGATCTCCTCTCTTTCCTGTGTCAGCAGCTGTCCCCATCCACCCAGCCAGGAAGAGGACTATTCCCAGAGAGGCCAGCCAGGTGGCCAAGGGGACGGTGTGTTTCACACCAGCCTGTCAAGGGGTGCCTGCCCTATGCCATCCCAGAGCTGCCTGCAGCCCAACTGGAGTCCACACCAGCTGCCTCACGGCTGGGGACACAGGGGGAGCACAGGGTTCCCTGCCCGAGCACAAAGGCCTCCCCGCTGCGGCTGCTCCCTGAGGGGGAAGAGGAGGAGGCAGGCCTGGGTCTGGTGTGAACTTGGAGAACAGCCAGGAGGAAGTGACTCAGGGTACACTAGTGCGTTAGGTGTGAACATTCCGCCTTCTCCGAATAACCTCTGGCTTTGGGGAAGCCAGACTACCTCCCAGAACAAAGCTAGAGGGTCCTGAATAGAAACACGGCTCCGGAGGCCTCAAGATCCTGAGAGGCGGCTGGGCTTTTGCTTTCTGCTGGTCCCAAAGCCAACGCAGCTTGAAATCGGAACGAAAGCCAGACACTGTCTCGGGCATGTCCAGCCCGGCCCCAAGTCACATACCGGGACCTGCCTTGGGATCAGGGCTGTGCAAAGTGGGGCACAAAGGGACTTTTAGAAATAAAACACCAGAAAGCAGCTTCGTTTAAGAAATATATATATATATGCAAAAAGCAGCAAATAGCTCCCAATTGGCCACAAACACCACTTGAGATGATTAAGCCTTTCAGAGCTGAGCGCACCCCAGCTCTCTTTGCCCGTCTCCTGCTACTCCTTGCTGACTTCCGCGTCCTTGATTAATCTGAAGCCAGAGAAACCCAGTGGCCCAATCTTATTAGGAGCGCCCCGCCCAGAACCTCTGGGGAACTGGGAGGGCAGCGTCACAGCCAAGGAATGTGGGAAATAACATTTTTAAAGCATTTGGGGACAAAATACTTTTTCTTTTAATCTCCTCTCTCTTCATGCCCTATCTCTCCACACGTCACTCCCAGTCACAGCAGTCTGTGTATTTTAGGCATTCGGCTGTTCCATTCTGTGTGTCTAGTGCATGGCAAGTGGATAATGGACATTAAATGCCAGCCCGCGTGCCAGGCCTGGGTACGTGAAGGGAATAGGGAACAGGGAACCATGTCACTGCTCTCTTTCTCTCTCTCTCCCCGGAGTCCAACTTTGAGTTCTAACCCCCACTGGGTTGATTTAAATAATATCTATATAATTTTAAATTATCATCCAATGATCTCTAGAGCTGAATCACAATAGCGGGGTCTCCCTCAGAGCACTAGCCCAGCAGAAGCTCATTCTGGAAGATCAACCCTGGGGAGAAAAAGGCTTTGAGGGGTGGGAGGCGGGGACCACGCTGAGCTCTGCTGAGCTGTGCTCTTGGCGAGGCTGGAGGACCCCTTCCCTGCCCCCCACCCCATGGGAAGGGAGCAGCTAGCTTGCAGCGGGAAGCAACACATCTCATCTCTGATTTCAGCAGCCCCCAAGCATGGCATGTACGCTGCAAGCCACAGTGACAGCTCTGGGCCAGCTGCTCACAACTGGCTGATGGATCTGAGGAGCACGCTGGGGTGAGGGGCAGGGGAGTGTACAAGCAAAAGCACTAGCTCCATTAGGTAGCAGACGACCACAGGGGGTTGAACAGGCACCTGGGTGAGAGGTGAGAAGCGGGTGCTGGGGCTGCTGCGAGGCGAACCCCACTCCGACTGCCTCCCTCCTTCCTCCCCCTGCATTTCTGTCCACAGCAGAGGCGCTTTTGAGGCTTGGGGAGGGGCCAGGCCCACGCTCATTAAACCTCCGTGGGTGGCATCACCCTGAGAGGCAGAGTGGAGGAGGGCAGAGCCAGCAGGGACTTGGAGCGATCTGTGGCTCCTAGGGAGGGATGCCTCCCTGGTCCGGAGAGAAGGGTCCGGGGCAGAACGGCGAGGCAGTAATTACAGGAGACGTCCTACTCAAGACACCCATGTGGACTGTTGGCACTATTCCTGGCCCGGTAATTAGGCATTTGGCAAACCCAATCTGCGCCCCGGCTGTCTCACTCACACCCTGTCTTTTGGCCAAGCCGCTCCTCCAAAAGCCGTCTCCGAGGATGGGGAGGAAGGGTCCTCCGAGCCTCCCAGCGATGGCGGCATCTCCTCGAGAGCTCAGGGAGCCCTGCTGGTGGTTCTGGAGATGGTGGTGGACCGGGAGTGTCAGGGGAGGAAAGGTTCTGTATTGCACATTGACTGTCCCCTTCTGGACAAGTCAGCCCGAGCAGAAGAGTCACCTGCTGCCCCATCTCCAGAAATGAAGAGCTTTAATATTCAGACCACCCAGATGAAATGTCATGGCAAATTTGATAAGAACCAAGAGGAAGTGAAATTGACACTGGGGGAAGGAAGGGGCAAATAGTGGGAAGGTGAAACCAAAAGGCACTGAGCATGCTTGGTGGGGCAGAGAAAGACACCATCACTCCAGAGACATGTCGTGACAAAGGGACGGGAACGGTCCACACCAGCTTCAGGCTCTTCAGAAGCCAGAGAGATGCCCGGGTCCGCCGAACCAAGTTGTCCAACGTTTTTCAAGAAACAGGATTTGCTTTGCAAGATGAACGAGGGAGGAGGTCCCGTGACTTCCAAGAGATCGTCCAAGTCCTCCAGCGCCTCACTTCCAAATCCCACCTGGGTCTCCCCAGAACCACGGAGCTCTCTGGCAGGGTCCCCTTCTTAACCTCGTGGCCCTGGAGTGCTGAAAGGTGCTGGTCCCTGGGAAGGAGGCAGTGACGAGGACGCCCCTGGGAGCTGGGTTACAGAGCCAGCAGAGTCGGGGAGTTCAAGGAGTCTGACGACTGGTCCCCACTGCTACTGCTTCTGCGGTGAGCCTTGGAGCAGGACTCAGAGGGCGACGCAGGCGACTCCTGCTCCAGGACGCTGGGGTAGGTGAAGACGAGGTTCGAGGTGCCTGGGGTGATGGCAGGAGTGGAGGTCACCACTATGGGGGTGTGCAGGGGCTCCTCCCCATAGAAGCCCCCAGCGATGCTGATGGGCTTGATCACGGAGCGCTGGGCCTTGTCCAGCCCCGCCGATGAGGACGAGGGGCTGTCCTCTTCCAGGGGCTCCTGCTTCACCACCACGGCGCCTACCCCTCCACTGCCCCCACTGCGCAGGGCCTGCAGCCCGGAGGCCGGGGGTGACCGGCGCTCCTCGGGGCTGATCTTGCACACGGGCCCGTGGGCCACCAGCATGAACTCCAGCTTCTCCTTCTCCTTCTGCAGCTCGGCGATCTCCTTCTGCAGGCCCGACTTCTCCTCCTCCAGCTCCTCCGTCTCCTGCAGGGGAAGAGGGGTACGTGAGGGACGGCAGGGGCTGCGCTGGGGGGTTGTCAAATCCAGCTGAGAAAGGGAAAGCCAGCCACGTGCTCAGAGGACAGACCATGAAGGCAGCAAGCTCACAGCCCACCTGCACGTTTAAGGTTTCCTTTTGTTTCCAAAGCTCCAGACTGAGAGAAGAGGAAAGTCAGCTTGGAGGAAGGGTGAATTAACGATCGTAGCTGTCATGATCGAGCACTTACTTTGTGCCAGGCACTGTGTTAAGCATTTCACAGGCATTATCTCATTCAACCTAGCGGTTTCTTGAAGCAGGTATCAGCAACCTGCAGGTATCAGTTTGCAGATGAAACTGAGTTTCCAAGAGGTTTAATCATTTGCCCAATGCCACAGAGCAAGCAGGTAGGGTAGCCCAGATTTGACCCCAATGTAGCTGACTCCAGAGTCCACATGCTACTACGCTCTTCTGCCTTGGTGCCAGGACCGCCCCCCGGTATGCCTCAGGGGTGAGTAATAGTGAGATCCGGTGGGGGAAGGGGGCACAGCATGCAGCTCCACCCCTCTCTCCTCGTGCCTCCTCAGCCCCATCCCGCTCGCCGTGGACACATGGACACTAAATTCTAAGCTGCGTGGCAGTGCAGATTTCTGTCTGCGCACACAAGCCCAGGACAGTGCCCGGCTTATAGGAAGATCTCAATGCATCCCGTCTGGATCTTCACCGTCCCTCTTCCCTTTTTTGCTCTAAGTAGAAAGCATATGTTTCAGGACTCACAGAAGCCCGGGAGAACATTCAGTTCAGCCCCCGAGCTTTAACAGATGAGACCCCTGCCAGCCTGAGCGGGCACGTGAGGCTGGCATGGACCTCAGCCCTTCCTTTCACACAAAGCCAGAGAAGCAACAGATGCACATGCAGGGGGTCGTTATGGAATACGGAAAGGCACGTGTCACCAGCCTCTTCCCCACTTTTCCCGAACACAGATTCCTGTTTGAGAACGAGATGACATGGGCCAGAGCTTCGCTAAGCAGCCGAGTACAGCACATTCCGAAGTGAAAAAAAGTTTCCATCTGTCTCAAGGGTCTGACGAATGTCATGAGCTTATGAGAGGCTTCCTGTGGAGGATGTGGCTCAGGGCCTGGGTGGCTGGGTCGTAGGTGGGGAGGCGCGGGGGAGCTGGGTGTGAGGCTTCTAGGGAGGTGGGGGGAAAGCTGAGGGGCCTCAGGGGGGCAGGCTCTTCTGGGGCTGGTGGCAGAAGCACCTGGGGGAGACCCAGGGGGCATGGCTCCTTGCAAGGTCAGTGGTAGGGAGGGCTCTGCTGGGGGAGTCTCCCCGGGGAGTGCTGAGCACTCATGGATCCGCCTCGCGTGACATCGGAGCACCGCCACTCCTCCTCCCCGCCTCTAACGCCGCCACGGGGCACCACTACAGGCACCGCGCGATTCACGCCGTGCACGTTCAAGACCCACGAGCGAGGGCTCCAGGATGGACAAAGGGAAGCAGAAGCCGGTGAATGGTAACTGGGAGGATTAAATAAAGTAATAGGACGTGCAAGGCAATGATCTCCAAAGCACCATCCTGGCTGGTCGTTGCAAGGATTGCCGACGGAGTCTCCCTCATCTCCTCACTTTGAACACGTTCCACCCAGGAGAGTCAGTCCTGGCTTTGGGCTTCCCCCACACGGCATACGGCCCATCCTGGAGGGCGGGGCTCTGGAGGGAGTTATGTGACGTTGGTCAGGTCAAGCTTTTGAGAGGGAGGGGTAGGGCCACGGGCCCCCAGGTGTGGGCAGTTAGGCAGCAGGGGAGAATGACTCACAAAGGCAGAAGGAGGTACCAAGGTGACAGCTTCAGGCTCAGGGCAGAGGCAGGGAACCCTCCCAGCCACGAAGGATATGAGAAAACCCCAAGACAGTACAACTCAGCTGCACGTGACCCATCTCCATGAGACCTAGAGAGCGTCACGACCCCTGCAGGGGTGAAGGAGCCCAGAGAGCAGTTCCCCACAATGCTTGCCCGCCCAAACTAGATGGCTGAAGCTAGGCCGGGCCACTCCTGCTGGTGGCAGGCACCCTGGGAAGAGGAGCCCCAGAGGAGGCAGGTCTGGGCTTGCCTTGGCTCCTGGGCTCGCCAATGCCAACACCCTCTGCCATCCCTCACCCGGGAGCCCCAGCAGGTCTCAGTGCAGGGATTGCACAGGTGCTGAATGAGAAAGGGTACCAGGCCCAAGAAGCCTGTCCAATTCTCTCTGGGCCCAGGCTGGTGCTAAAGGCCAGCTCCCTCTCCCCAGCCCTCTCCTTTAATCAGGGCAGTGCTGACCCATGTGCTAAAAGGAAGCAATGTTTCTGTCTGCACTGACTCACATGTCAGCCACTAGGGGCAAGGAGGAGGGGAGGGCCGGGAGCCCTGGGGTCCCTGCTCTGGCCCGCCCAGAAATGCGCCCGCCCCACGCAGAGCTCCTCACCGCCTGCAGCTTCTCTGTCAGCTCCCGGCGGCGGTTCCGGCACTTGGCCGCGGCCAGCTTGTTCCTCTCCCTCCGGATTCGACGCTTCTCCTCCTCTTCCGGGGACAGCTAGAGGCCAAGGTCAAGGATCACGGTTACGCTCGGATAAATGGCTCACCACCTTTTCGGCTTTTAACTGCATTTGAAGTAGGGGAAGAAGCCCTTCTGGAACTGGGGAGGGGAGGGCCGAAGGCAAGAGGAGCGCGGCTCAGAGGCCCAGAACACGCGGCTCACTGCTGTGTGGACGCCTGGGAGGGCGTTTAGAGCTGAATCCCCCCTGGAAGGTGATGTCGCGTGTTTGAAGGGAGAACAGGGTAGCCATGGGTCAGGGACTCACCAGCCCAAGCATGATGGCAGCACGTGTCAGGCCAGCCCCGACTCAGTGCCAAGGCCCGAGAGAACGGGCTGGGACTGCTTCCCGCAGAGTCCCCTCGTGCCAGGCCCGCCCCACCCACTTACGCAGCTTCCTCCACTCTCCGCCTAATTACTCCTCCCCATAACCCTGCCTGCTCTGCGAGCCTCATTATCTCCACGTGATTAAGTAGCTGGGCCCAGAGTAGGAAGCACCCAGGGGGGCATGTTCTGTTGCCAGAGGGAGGGCCACCCCACTCCCAAGCCCCTCTGCCAGCCCTCGAGCGCTGGCTGCTCACACTTCAACCCCGAGGACTCACCCGTGAGCCTGGCACAGTGCCGGGCTGGACGGGACCAGCGAAAGGAGGAGGGGCCCTGAGGCAGGTTAAACCCTGCTGCCCACCACATCCACTCATTCAGCCAATGAGCCCTTCTGCACGCCAGGCACAGTGTGAGGGCTTAGAGGTTTGTCAACAGATCAAGTGAACACAAATCCCCCCGCAGCTCCTCACACTGAGGTTGGTTAGGGGCCCGCGGCTCAGGCCAGAGGGCAAGAACTCTGCCCCCACCATCGGGGCTGACACTCTGCTTACACAGAGCCCTCCTTCCAGAGGAGGGCCACCAGCCCCTCGCAGAGGTGATGTGAGGAGATGGCTGGGGGCCAAGGCAGAAAGCAGTTCAAAAGGACAGACCACCCCTTCAGTCATCAGACTGACGGCACCCCTACAAGATGCCAAGTACAGTACTTGGGGCTTAGAAGATTCTGGGGGAATAAGACCTGAGTCCTACCCTCAAGGGATACATGGGGAAAGGGCCAAAGCCACTTTTGGAGGGGCTAAGAGAGAAGCCGCCCCACTGACGGATGCTGCCTGGACCACCAGCCATCCTGTGAGGGAGGGAGCCACTGCCCAGGCTGGGCCCAGGCCAGAGTCCCCAGGACGCTCCCTGCAGCCTTGAAGGTGTGTGGCTGTGACGTCCTGAACAGGACACAGCATCACTGCAGCAGCCTCCAGGAGGTGCGCACTGACCTGAGCCCATCCAGCCAGTAGCATCTCTGTTAGTCCTCAGGCCCCTTCCAGAGACCCAGTCTTGGAGTCCACGCTGGAGTCCCGGTTCTACTTCCCTCCTTAGGTCCCTCCTCTGCCTAGGAACCCAAAGAGCCGTTGGCTCCACGGTCTCCCTTCTGAGAGGCGTCAGGCAGCTGGGAGCCAAACGCAGGTGTGGCACTTCTGGGTGGACTTGGACAGATTACTGACCCTTCTGAGCCTCAAAGTCCCATTTGTAAAATGGGGTTAATAGGACCTGCCCTGCCTTCCACAACGTTTCTGCAATGATCAGATGAGATGCAGTGTGAGAGTCCTCTCTAAACTAGAAAGTGCTAGAAAGAAGAAGATGCAATTCAGAGGTCTCCTCTCTGATGCCTTTTCTGCACTCACTGAGCAGCAAGTCAATTGGAGACCCAGAGTCCACAGATTCAGGCACCCTGTTCTCTGTGGAGACCAGCTGAGGTCACAAGGCCACTTGGCCAAGGCCCTGAATACTGGCTACTCCTAACCCTGTCTCAACCTGAGTCCAAGAGGGTAACCCTGCTGCAGTCGTGGGTTCAGGGCTCAGCACTGAAAGGCTACCAGGGTTCCCCTTGAGGCCCAGCTAGCCCCCCTCCTCCTTCACTGATGAGGGGCAGAAAAGATGGAGAGCTGGTCCTGGTCCACTTTGGCCTCCGTTCCCCCTTGGCTGCTTCTGGACAAATTCTGACCTCCCAATTGCCCTAGAAGCCTCGCCCCTATGTGGTGAGGTGTGGGGCAACTTGTGGGAGCTCTAGGCTTAGGAAGTGTTCAGGGGTGGTGACAACACGGTTACAACTTGAGTGTGTCAGCACCACCACATACCCATCCACAAGCCACACACACCCGCCCCTCCCCGCCACTGCTGGCCTCAGAGGGAGCCTCTGGGGCAGGTTACGGAGGAGGGCAGTGAGGCACCAGGCCAGTCCCTGGTAACAGGTTCCTCCCCCTGGGGGAGGCTGGGAAGGCAGAAGTGAGCCTCTGAGAAAAGACCCTCGGGCTAGGAACCCAAAGAGCCAAGGTTCTAGGATGCCGCCACCTAGGCTTCCTCCAAGCTGCCAGACGATTATCTGAACTCCTGACATGGGATAAAACACTTCTGGCTCTCTCTTTCCCTCTCAAAAAAGGAAGGAAATTCTCCAAATTGTCTTAGGGCACGCCTAGGTGGTGCGGTAGGAAAACCACAGGGCTGAAGGTCAAAAGAGGTGGATTCCAGTCCTGGCTCTGCCACTAACTCACTGTGTGAGCCTGGACAAGGCCCTTCTTTCTGGGCCTCAGTTTCCTCATCTGTAAAATAGGTGCAGAGGGAAAATTATTGAATTTTCTATAATTATTGAAAATTATAGAAAAGCTGGTCTCCAAAGTCTCTTCCAGATATAAACTTCTAGACTTGGTGTGAGCCAGGCCCAGAGAAGGATGAAGAGTATTCAGCACATCTTGCTTTGCTGTCCTGCTAACCCAAGAGTCCCTCCCAAGCCCGGCTCTCACTCAGGGGTCCCTTACATACAGGGAGAATCCAAATCGTCAGTGACTGTAAAGCTTAGCACCCCGGGCTCCCTGAAGGAAGCACATTTAATAGAGGACCTTAGGATCACTGCTACTGCAATATTTATAACTACAGGTATGGAAAGCAGCAGTGAGGGGGATATTGGCCATTTGCCCCAGCAGCAGACAGCACCCGGGAGCTGTGTCTGTTACTGTCTATTACACACACCCCTCCATGTTGCCCCTGCACAGGGCCCTGCCACTAATAGAACAAACCAACATGTAATGGATACAAGGCCCAGCTTTTTCCTCAGAGGAACGGGGCTCCTGTGAAAGCTTCCGGTTCCTCAGAGCAGTGACCCTTGTGATTCTAAGTGTCCTGGAGACTAGTGGCACTGGATCTGCAATTATCCACTGGGCACCACGTTTGAAAGGTCCTCGTATTGGAACAAGGAGTGGAGGTGGACAGTGGTTGAAATGGGGAGGGGTTCCAAAGCTGTAACTGAAGTAATTCTTCAAGCTAACATTTCATTTGAAAAAGGGATTCTACTGCCAAAGTATCTCCCTTCCCTGGACTTGTGGTGGCATGGTGCTGGAGAAAGAGCACCGCACAGGGGTCCAGGGGCCTGGTTCTAGGCCACGCTTCCCCGCTCACTTGCCAAGTAGCCCCAGGTAGCTGTGTCCAGGCCTTGGCTGTGTCATCTGTGAAGGGGGACAGATGGGGCTCTTGGAAGGCTCATTCCCTCCTTTCTGGAATTATGCATGACTCTGATTTCTCTTTTGGGAAGCAGGGGGCCATCGCTGCCCTGGTAATCTGTTAATACAGACAACGGGCCTTTTGAGTGTTGGGTAGATGCTACCTAGAGAGCAGAGGCCCCACCCTTTGCTGGCGTCTCTCTCAGCCAGGTTGACTCCTGCTCAAAGCTGAGCCCCTTGAGGAAAAAAAAGGCTGATGATATCTGACCACCTCCCCCCCCAGCCCCGGGAGCTCAAGCAGCTGAGCAGACTCCAAAGACCCCAGAGTCCCTCCACTTCCGGAATGTGCATCCCAGGCACTTGAAACGGGGTCCTGCCTTGAGTTGGAGGCCTGAACCATGCAGGGAGAATGGAAGTAGTGTGGGCAGTACTGGTCTAGAAGGGGCGGGGGCCTTTAGGACTGCTGGGTATCTACCAGATACTGGGAGACAGTTAAGGACTCCCCAGAAAGCTCCCAGCCAGGGTTCACTGGCTGCTTGTCCTGTGGCCCTGTACCAAGTTATCAGAGAATGATACTGCTATAGGCAGGGCCTAAGTCCTGCCCATGTGCTGACGCCTCACCACTCACTATGTGCTTTCCCACCATGATCTCATTCGGCTGGAAGCAAGTCCTGGCCAGCAAGACCCTATCTCCATTTTGCAGCTGAGGAAACTAAGACACAGATTCTAAGGGACACAGGCAAAATGCCTGACTCTCAGCTCTCTAGCTCTGCCTCCACTGGTCCTGAGCTCCTTCATCTCCGCAGTGCTCCCAGAACGTCGACCCTGCTCCCTGCCAGTCTTCAGAAAAACACTGCGTTATAAGGCCTGGAAAGCCACCAATGCGGCTCCTGATAGGAACTGTACCTGTTCATCTCTCCTCCTGCGGCCCACAGTGGTGCCAATGGTCTTGATCACGCCGGGTCTTGGGAGGGCCATGTGCCCGGGGACAGAGGCCAGGCCCGGCAGGGGGCTATAGGGGTGCGAACGGGGGTACGGGTTGGACATGGAGGTGATCACCGTGGGCTGCACCATCCACTGCAGGTCCTGGCTGGTCGTGATGGCGTTGATGGTGGGGATGAAGGCGCTGCCTGAGCCAGGCATATCTACCCGGAATTTCTGAAATGAGGAGAAAAGTAGGATTGAGCCAATAAATACTGCAGAACAGGACAAGCAGAGCCAGGAGGCCAAAACTGGCAGAAAGTAAAGTCAGAGCCTGGGAAGCCAAGGTCAAGACACTGGGTGGACTTCCTGCACATCCAAGAATCAAGGGGATCTTAACTATTCCTGGGACCCCCATGTCAGATCTGCTCCCTGACTGAGGTCCTGGAAACTCCATCCCCAACTGGCTCAGCGAGGATGTGGTCATATCTCCAATGGCTTCTAGGATACATGTGGTCCCTAGCAGCTCACACTCAGCAGGTCCTCTCTGAAGCCCTCCAGGCCAGCTAGGCCCCCATTTGCAAGAGAGCAGGCCTTCCACCCGGGGCCTCCTGAACTTCTGGGTCACTTGCCATTATTCCCAAGGGTACCAGCTTAGGATCCCTTGAGGAGATTTGCCGACCAACTGCTTTGCAGCAACGAGGATCACCAGGAAGGTTGTTATGTCTGCTTTCGTTACTTTCCAAACAGGTTCATGATGGGGTTGTGGCCCCATCAGGGTGAGACCAGGTCCATGAAAAGATATCCTCTGACCCATGAGACTGAAAGTGGTAGCGTCTGCTGCCAGACTTCCCCTTGCTGTCCTTGTCCTCCTTGACCTTCACCCCCATCTTGCTTGGGGCAGACCCACTGTGTCTCTCTTTATCTATCTACATATCTATCTGTGCTCACAGGCGTGTCTGTGTGAAACTTTGCTGCTAGCTCTGAGTTTTCTCCCTGTCACTTAATTTATGCCCAGACCACGTTGCAGAGCTCTGTGGAACATGCTGCAGGAAGCATTCTATTTAAAATATAAGATGATGACAGAGTACAAAAGCTAAAATGGGCCATGCTCCTCAGCAGCTGGGCTTGACCTTCCTTCAGGGCAGCTACTAGAAAGCGAGCAGGAGGGAGAAGGGAAAGATCCCCTACTTCCAGATTTTCGGGAGAAAGCTCCCCTCCTGAAACCCTCAGCCTCGGATAATTCCTGTTTCCACAAAAAGGTTCTGCACATCCTTTCTTCCCTAACTTGGTGGATGAAATATTGACAACAATAATAACTAACACTTACTGAGCACTTATTAAATGACAGGCACCATGGTAGTGTTTAACCTAGATTGTCCCATTAATTTTCCCTCTGAGGTAAGAACTACCATTATCTCCATTTTAGAGGCAGAAATTCAGGCTTAGAGAGATTAAGTAACTTATCCAAGGCCACGTTCTAATAAGCAGTGGGGTCAGGATTCAAACCCAGTTCAGCCTGACAAAGAGGCTAGGTCTCTCAAATATAGTGCAACACAAGCTTCTGTAGCATTGTTTTTTCCTGCCTCAAAATCCAGCCCCAAGTGCTGGTATCCATCCCCACTGCCCTCGGACAGAGCATCAGGGTCATCCCCACCAAGGGTCCCTACAGACCTTCCCTCACCCAGGACTCCCCACAGGTCTGGTTGACCCCAGATGAAATCCCACTGCCATTAGCATGGATGCTATAGCATCTCCCCTATATTGGCCCAATCAGACCAACCAGGATTAGAACTGTCAGCAGCAACGGCAGCTACCACCACCACGGTCTTTGCCCCTGGTGACGACAGCCGGGTTGCTTTGTGTAAATACTTCACTGCAGCTGAGGGAGCTGTGGACCCTTCGCTGTGGACCCTTCCTTGCTCACTCCCCTGCCAGCTGCCTGACCCTAGTCTGGGTAGTGGAATGTGGCTGTCTCACCTCCCAGACTTCCCTGGGGCCCCAGGTCAGGGGCATTCAGTGAAGAGAGTGACCCAGTGCAATGAATTCTGGGATTCTGTGAAGTTACCAGTGCAATGGATTCTGGGAGTCTGTGAGGAGAGCTGCCCAGTGCAATGGATTCTGGGATTCTATGAAGTTACCAGTGCAATGGATTCTGGGAGTCCGTGAGGAGAGCTGCCCAGTGCAGTGGATTCTGGGATTCTGTGAAGTTACCAGCGCAGTGGATTCTGGGAGTCCGTGAGGAGAACTGCCCAGTGCAGTGGATTCTGGGATTCTGTGAAGCTACCAGCACAATGGATTCTGGGAGTCCGTGAGGAGAGCTGCCCAGTGCAATGAATGGATTCTGAGTCACCTCCCAAGGCAAAGACAACTGGACTTTTTATCCGGAGCTCACTGAAAAGTAATAGGTGTATCTGGGTATGTGTGTGTGAAGGAGGGCAGGATGCAGTGAACACGGAAGGATACAAGTGGGAAATGATCTTCAAGGAGGAAAAACAGACAACCAGGGCTGGCTGTGAGGAGGCAGGGCAGTGAGAACACGTGAGCGGCTGAGTTTGTGCAGAAGCACTAAAACCCAGGCAGCTATGTTTCTCTTGGGCTGCTGGATTGGGAGGGAGAATGGGGAGTAGTCTGAGTCAGGAGGCCTGGATCTGAGGCCCTGGTGGATCACTGAGGACCCGGTTTCCCTGTCTGGAAAGGGGAGCAGTCACACCAAACTCACTGCACTATCACGAGGATTAAATAAGAAGCTGCTTGTAGTCACGGGCTCTAACAGCACACCAGCGGCTCTCAACCCCGGCTGCACGTTAGAATACTCGAGGAGCTTTTTAAGAACACCAATGCCGGAGCCAGCCTCACCATTACAGGTCTAAATGCATTGCTTTGGGGTGGGGTTCTGATAAGGTGCTTTAAAAAAATGACTGAGGAGGTTCTAATGTGCAGCCAGGGTTGAGAAACGCTGCTCCAAATAAGCGAAAGCTGGCGTCATTGTCATCACGACCACCGTCGCCACCATCACCATCCTCAACATGCATCGTCCCTGGAAGTGTCTGTGCGCTTACAGTGCAAAAGTGGTGGCCCCAGGGAGAATGCCAGCTTCTCATTCCTGGGAAGCACCCAACATTTTTATTGTTTCTCTTCCCAAGTCCGGTCCTTGGTTTGAAAGACACCCGAGGCATCCAGCAGGATGGTTTAATGTGACCTTCCACTTCTGTGGGGGAACTGTCAGCTTTCCTTTCAGGAAAGCACCCAAGAAATTCATTCCTCCTTCCAAAAAAACAAACAAAAGGGCTCCCATTTCAGGCTGGGAGAGGGAAGCCAAAAAGCTGATGCAAAGCTGAGAGACTAAGATCCCTTAGGACTAAGTGGCTGACTCCCAGCCCCTCTCGGGGCCCTCCGGTCCACTCACTCTGTGATGGCAGGTCCACGGAAGGCCGTGCCCAGCCATCAGCCAGACTCCTTGCAGCAATGGCTTGGTCTAGACAAAACAAGACAGCAATAAAAACAAGGCAGTAGGTAATGACTGCCTCTGAATGCATGTACAACTTGTTTCAGAGGGAGGTAAAGCCATCTGGAGAACACACTGGCTCTAAACTGCAAGGAAAACACGTCCTAGCCCCTGAGGGGACTGGTGCTGTGATAAAGAAGGCTTTTGTCTGCAGGTGGAGGCTCTCTGAGACACACAGAAGTTTAAGTGAGATCTGACAGATGTGTCTTGTCCCAACTCCAAAGGTATTTTTCAGAAAGCGACACTGGGGTTGGAGAGGAGAGGAGGGCCTAGGAGTCTGTGAAGCCAGAAGTTAGCCTGGCATTCTTCTCTGACAACAGACCCAAGAATCAGTCAAATGTCATGCGGGGGAGAAATCACGGCTCTCTACGAACAGGTTAACACTGAACAGAAACCAAGATGGGGTCTCCCAGCTGCGGGCATTAGGGTGGTTTGATCCCTGATGCAGCACCAGGTGTGTGCTGGGAGTGGGGGGCTACAGGTGGGAACCCAGGACCCTCACTTGACTCCCCTGGGGCTCTCCAGCCCCCCGGAAGCTCCTCCTATAGGGACAGAATCGAAGATGCTGGATGGCTGTGTGGTATTCCAGCCTGGCAGAGCCTCCAAATGCTTCCTTTCACTGTGTCATCCTGTTGACTTCTGGGTGGGCAAGAATGCCTATAAAAGGACAAACTGCCGCCCACCCCCACCGACCTCCTAGAGCATCTTGGCAAACTTCTGCTGTCAAAGGCCAGATAGTAAATATTTTAGACTCCGGGGGCCATGAGGTCTCTGTTGCAGCTACTCAACTTGGCCATACTAGCGTGAGTGCAGCCACAGACGAGATGTAAACTAACGGGCGTGCCTGTGCTCTCTTAAGCCCTATTTACAAAAACACTCGGGCCATAGTTTGGCAGCCTCTGTCCTAGAGGATCATTCTCATCTCTCATGCTCAGGTTACTGGAAAAAGAATAAAGAGGGGAAGTGAGAAAGCAAAAAATCACAACTATTCTTCTAACCCAGGGAGTGAAGGGATGGACTCTCACTAGACAGGTTGAATCTCCAGAACCTGAAGCCAAAGTTTGAGCCCTTTGAGCCTTGCTGCAGGTCTTTGGGCAGCAGAACCTCCTTATCCTGAAGCATCCTGAATTTAAGGGAGCTGTGGGGCCGCTCAGTAAGTACGTGTGTCCTCCCACTGCCTATGAGAAAGACAGCTCAGAACACAGGGCCCCTAGGGCCACCCAACTTCATCAGGTCAGACAGGTCCCTGTAGCCCAGCAGTTGCTAATTTGGGAAAATGACCTTTCTGAACTCTGCAGGGCCTTGCATTCAGAAATAAGGGTCACAACCACGGCCTTCTGTAGAAAGGTCCAGGAAGTAGGGTTTGGGTTCCTATTTTCTGCAGACGTGGATGGGGCAGGGCTTATCCCAGAAACTCCTGGGCTGGGCAGAAATGGCATTTGAGATGGAAGTCAGAGTTGGTGTTTTGGGCCCATCACCTCAGCCAGGTATTTCTCCATCAGATTGATTCTTGACTGGGCCACAAAGCACTCGAGCCATGAACCCCATGAATACCTGTGACCTGCCTCGGCAGGCAGAAATGATTATGCATATCTGGGAAGAGACTGGGTTCTTTCTCTTAAGAACCCCTTTTTTTAGTTTCCCAGCACAGGAAAAGGAAAATTCCAACATCCCAGGAGACTGGCTTGGGGAAGAGGAGAAGGCAGGGCAAATGCTGCTTCAAATGCCCCAGAATAACCCTGCTGAGGTCCAGTTTGACTCAAATGCTCTGTATTTTTACTTAACGTGGGGTGTTCTCCAAAGCCTTCTATATGGAATTCAACCAATTTTCACAGATTCTGCAGTGGACATCACTTTGACCTTTGACCTTTCGTTCCTCTCTGAGGAAAGCCACTTAGCTCACCATGGAAATGGTCCTAATAACTCGTGATTTCCCCAAATTTTACAAACACTATCTCAGGTGACCTGCCTCCTGTCAGGTTCACTTGAAAGAATCATGCTATCTTTCTTCACCTAACTGCCAGGGTGAAGCACAGCAAAGAAGAAAAGAAAAAAGCAAGGAAAACAAGGCGATCGACACAGAGTTTCCAGCAGGTTCCCCAGTGTCTTTCCTCCCAGGGCCCTTCTGGACAGAAATTCCACTCCAAAGCATGAGAGGACTCTCTCCACCATTCTGTGGATCCCTTTTGTACCTCCACCAATCCTGGGACGGCTCTGCACTCCACGGGAAGGGGATGCCATCTCATCTTCTCTGCAACCACAGCAGGTGAGCGTGGCCAAGTCACTGCCACGTGACAGGGTGCGAGACAGCAGCGGGCAAGAGGAGTCTTACACCTTCCCTCTCCAGCCCAGTGAGTCCAAGAGGGACAGAGTTACCGAATGGAGTTTGGAACAGATATATTTGCCTCAATCAGGGCAGCTGCCGTCATTTTGAAATGCTGTGGCCATCAAAAGATACCACATACAACACAGATGAGACACATCCATTAAACACGAATTCTTTTTCTTTCTTTCAACAAATAGACCAGAAAGGTAGCCTCCCGAATTCTCAAAATCAGTACCTTTACTCCTGTATAACAGAGCGGGGAAATCTAAGGTAGAGGTGGCAAAGGTGCCTGCTTTTGGTGTGCCTTGTCTTGGTGACTGCTGTCCCAGGAAGACTCCTGAGATGAAGACCAACAGGATTCGGGGTCACACCCTGCTTTGGACCCAGAAGATCACCCAGACCTCATACATCACACTTGGTTCTTTATATGTCAGATCTTTTGATAACTTCCAAATATCAAATTCACCCTCAAAAGACAAAGATATGTTAGGAGGGAGGGTTTTCAAAAGAATTTGCTGAAGGCAGTCCCAAAGAGGGATGTTGTAAAACCTTTCTGAATCTAATAGCCACAGCATTCAAATAAGTATTTAGTCTTCTCAAGGAACAACAATGAAGGGGACAACAGTGATTTGGATGCGTAAGTTCGGGTGTGTTTGTAATAAGACAGAAAAGAAAAAAACAGAGCCTCCTAACTTTACACTCACCTTGCATAATGAGGCAGGCAGAAATAAAGTAATGGAAATGCACTCAGGAGTTTGGATAGGAAAATTCAACTGCCACTCAGACAATACGTGACTGCGGTTTCACCCCATTCACTTTGATGAAACAGTGACACTGACTTCCACCATCAAGAATCAGCGGAACAGACAAATTCCTGGGATAACATTTCGTTTGATCCTAATCTACAACATCTGTGAGATCAAGGCAAAAAAAAAAAAAAAAAAAAGGCACCAGACCCTTAATATACACCTCCCACCTTCCCACCAATTCTGAAGACCACCTCCCCAAATAAAATTCCCAATGTCCTAATACAAACAATATCAAGAAAACAAGCCTTGGGAATTTGAAGACATTGTGCTGACAGATGTCAAAATAGGGAAAGAAAAAAGCACTCCCTTTTCAACTACGTTGAAAAGAAACTGCATTTCAAAGTCAAGCAGCTCCTAGTTAACCACTGTTAAATATACGCCATTTATTTGTCCTGGATTAAAAAGAAAAAAATCCTAAGAATTCCGAAAACTCACCAGGTTAACACTCTCTGGGGCTGGAAAAATACATTCCCCAGATAGTTCTTCTAAGAATGTCCCGTAGGGGGCACTAGAGAGGTATGATTGGGGCTGACTTGGGAATCACAGTCATTTCTGGTAAAAGTTCTTTGATGTGAGGAATGTCCCAGCCTGGGTACAGTTGGCAAAAGTTCACTCTGGGGAATTTTGTGTGTGTGTGTGTGTGTGTGTGTGTGCGTGCGTGCGTGTGTATGTGTGTGTGTGCGTGTGCGTGTGTGCGTGCGTGTGTGTGTGTGTGTGTGTGTGTGTGTGAGCTAGTCTGGTATTCCTTGAACTGTCCCCCTTGATTTATTTTCACAAGTTATCTGAGGAACAGACAAATGGCAGCCTTGGAAAAGTTCTGGGTCTTGTTTTTGTTTTGTTTTTCATTAAAAGGGGGCCCAGCTGATGAAAACAAGTTATGAAATGACCTATGTTTGTGTAACTGGCTGAATTGCGTAATGCTCAGGGCCTGAAACGGTTTAAGAGTCGTGCAGCCAGGCAGGGCATATATCTGGTAGGTGTTTTCCTAGGAAAGTTAGGAGAGAGAGAGAAAACAACAACAACAATAAAAAGAAAAAGCCAGGAGGGGGAGGTGTGTGCAACTATTAGTGACAAATCAAATCACCAATGACCAACCTCTGAGATTAAAACTATAACTGGAACAGGAAATATTTTCCATGCTTCAAGTTCCTGCCATATACAAGAACAGAGGTTTCAACAGAGTTATCTGCCCCCCACCACCTTCCCCAAGTCACTGAAACTCATGGCCATGTGTTAAGATCAAGCTTTATGAAGTGAGAGAGGAGAGGAATGTTCTAGGTTGAGTAAACAGCAACAAACTTCTCAGGAATATCAGACCCCACAAACAAAGAGAGCAGAGAAAAATAATATTCACTTGCCCAGGGTGAAACCAGAGAATGCTCTTACACTGATTGGTCCGCTGAGATGCCACAAAAGGAAGAAGGACCATCACTAACTGTCAGGAAAGTCTCCCCGTAAAGGAAGCTGAGAGAAATAAAGTGACTACAGGTTTTATCTGGTATGCAATAAAGTTACCTCGAGCCAGAGTGGGGTCACAGACTTGGGAAGTAACAAAATCTTCTCGCGTCAGTCCTTAGGACCACAGAACAGCTCTGCTCAAAGTCACAGAGATGAGAGAAAAAAACCCTGCCTCCCTCCCCCACCCCCTCCCTCAGGGGTGGATAGGCTGAGAAACTTGTCCAAAGCTACAATACCTTGCCAATCCCTCTGGTTTGAAAGGCGCCTCACTCAAGCTGCTGGGCCGAATGGGCAGGCGTATATGCAAGAACCCCGTGCACCAGTTATTACTAATTGCAAAATCCTCATGTGTTACAGCATGCTAGGAATTAGCCAACAGCTGCTTTTTGCTTCGGTAATGAGGCCCCATTACACTCTGCTGGACTGAGTTCTCTTCCTTCTTCCTAGCACTGGTTTCCTGTCTGATTTTCTTCCAAAACAGGGAATTGCCTCCGCTCACATCCTGGGCTCAAAGCCCTAGTGACACAGATTATTCAGTTGGGGCACTGATGTCCGGTCTGACTTCCCATCTAGGCCCCAGGGTCTGAGAAAAGCCAGGCGGCAAGGTTGTAACATTTCAGTGATGAGTGCCACAGAAACGGCAGCCAAAGGAGCAGATGAGAAATCAAAAGATCCCTTCCTGGTTCGGAGAGGCAGAGAGGGACTTTTTGGGGGCTGTTGAACCGGAGAATGAGGGAATGGGTTATAAATGACTCTGACCCATTGCCTAACGATAGCTGGATTCAATACAAACCACCAATGGGGCTGCAAAGCAAACAAAATCAAACACTTTGGAACAAAATTGGAAACTCATCACCTTGGTACCCGTTATTAGGGGTGCACTGGCTGCACCCTCAGTGCACAGACTAGGCTCTCTACAGTGGTGCTTACGGGGACACCAGGGCAGGTAGAGGGAAGACACAGAAAAGCCGTTTTGAGGACTCACCAGGTACGGGGAGCCACTCTGGAATAAGATACCCCTCTTCAGTTACCAAAGAGCACCGTGTCTCCATTTTATTCTCCATCAGGGTCCCTCCTCCCTGGAAGCCCACCCCAACCCCTTCTGGTTGGCTGGCGTATAGAGGCCAAGGCCACTGCCTTACCAGAGCAACTCTTGCTGCAGCCAGTTTGGCTACAGACTCTGCAGATCCTGACTGAGGCGGGTTTCAGGTTCTAGCGGCCTTGTTTGTTAAGCCAGCTCCCTCACAAGCCTCGGGGTGGGGGGGTGGCTGCTGCCGAGGACAGGCACCCCACCAGCACCACCAACCCAGCAGCACCCTCCTGGTATTTATTTATTCTGGTATTTATAGACAGATCGCACGCACAATCCCTCCAGTGCAAACCAGTCCGCCTACTTTAGAAACAAGTTGTTTTTCGGCTTCCAGAACCACTCAGGAGCCCAAGCGAGGTCTCTCCACCCTCCCCGCCCCCCTTCTCTCTGCAGGCGTCCTTGCCCCAAGGTACTCCCAGACCCACAAGGCGCCCCTTCTGGTGGCAGTGCAGACTCCTTCTCCGACCCTAACAGGAGATGGATGGGCGCCGGGCACCTAGGCGCAGCCGAGCCAATCAAGGCTGACCTCCTCCTTCCTTCCTGACCTTCGCACCTGATTCCCAGAGCGCCAACCCGCACCCACTCCGGATTACTTGAAGGAGCCCAACCATGTTTCCGAGTCCCCAACATTTTTCAGAAATTAAGACCGATGGGGGCCGGGGAAGAGAAGGAGAGGGTTTTTCGCAAGAATAAGGTCCCGAGATGTAGGGAGGGGCCCGTGGGTGCAAAGATTTTTTTTTTTTGTCCACCACGGAAAGAGAGGAGAATGGAGGTGGATTCCTGGGAGAGGAGGTACAGGCTCCTGGGAAAGGGACCTGCAATTCCAGGAGCTGGTCTGGATAAGATGTAGTGTGAAGGATAGGGTTTGCTGGCTGTTCCAGCCCGCTCGCCGCTCCAGTTTAAAAAAAAAAAAGTGTTGGCGTTGGGTAGAGGGGATGAAAGGAGGTGTGGGCAGGACAAGACGAAAATCCAGAACTTACAATGGTGGCCCGTAGGAATTTTCTCGCCAAACCAAGAAACGGAAAAGAAAGCAAGAGAGGCAGTGGCGGCGAGAGGAAGGCGGGTATCCGCCCGCGCCGCCAGGTGCACCCGGGCCCCGCACCTACCTGCTGGCCGCCGCCGCCACTGGAGTAGGACTCGGCGTGCGCAGGAGAGCCGCTGCTGCCCCGGGATGAGGTATCAAAGTTCCCGGGATAATCTTGGTACATGATCCGCGGTGGGGGCCCGAGAGGAAACAGGGTGTTTTTCTTCCCCCGCCCTCGCCGAGGCCGCGCACCGGCTGCTGAACGCTGGCTCCCTGCGGGCCGCGCCTCGGGCTCTAGTCTTCGCTCCCGGGCTTCTGCCCCTCGGCGGCGACACCCCGGGAACAGTGCCCCCCGAGCGCCGAGCGCTGCACTTCTTTCCTGCTCTACGAGCGCTGCGGGTCCGGCTGTCCACCCGGTCCCGGCTGTCCACCCGGTCCCTCCCACTAAAAAGTCCGCGCGTCCCTCTGTCCCTCCCCTGCGCGCGCCCTCCTGCCCCCGCGCGCAACCGGAGCTCAGCCCGGACCGCCGGCTCAATCAAAAATTGGAAAGTAAAAAAGAATAGGAGCCCGGCGAGTCAAGCCTGCCAGGTCTGGGGACCCCCGATTTCAGGCAGGGCAAAAAAAGGCGAAAAGAAAGGCTGCCCGCTTGGAGAAACTTCTATTTCCTCCTTTTAGAAAAGGAGCTGAGAATAAACTTCCTGTGGCCGACTCGCCGCCAGAGTTTCGAGCGGTTCGGACACTTGACTAGAAGAAGGCAGCCTGCGCCCGGCCCGCGGCCGGTGGGGTTCCAGTTGAGCCGGCGCGGAGAGGGACGCGGCTCCGCTCCCCGTGCCACAGCTGCGGCGCCCGGACCTGCACCCCTTCCCCGGCGCCCGCTCCCGGACGGGCCCGTGTCGCCCGTCCGCGCCTCTCTCACTCCCTCTCTCTGTCCCCGCCGAACGCCGTTCGCTTGCTCTCTGGTTTGCTCGGAGCCCCAGCGCTCTGCCCGAGATGAGTCACTACAATGGCACGAGTTCAACTCCACACTCTTTATTCTCCAGCCCCTGTACCTCACGTCAACCCCAGACTCCACCTTGCAGGGAGGAGCGCGCGGGGAGGCGGAGGGAGAAGGCCGAGGAGGAGGAGGAGGAGGAGGAGGAAGAGGCGCGGGAGGAGGCGGGCGCAGCGCCACCCTCCCTGCCCCGGCTCCCGGGCGCGCTGACGCCAGCCGCACAACCAGTGCTAGGAAGGAAGGGGGTGGCGGGTGTGGGAGCGGACCGCTGGCGCGGTTTGGGGGAGCCGAGGCTCCTGGCCCTTCCCCTCCCAGCCCACCCCCGGCCCCGCGCCCTTGGTCTGCTCCACTGGCGCATGTTGCCAAAGATGGTCATTTGCGTTAAAGGACGCGAGTGCGGGTTCCCTCGCTTTCGGGTGACGTGGAGGGAGAGGGATTCCCTCGCCGGCTCCCCAGCACGCCACGGCCTCCCCCCCTTCCACCACCCTGGGAAGGGGCGCGGGGCGGGGCCCCCGAGAGCGGCCGCAGGGGCCTCGGCGCCGGGTTTTAGAAAATAATCACAGTCCCGAAGAGCGAGACGGGCGGTTCGGTGCGGCGCCACCGCGAGGCTGGGAGCCGGGCGCGCAGAGCCGCTCGCAGGGAGGGCGCGGCCGCGCATGGTCGTCGGCGTCCTCCGCGGCGCCGCCTGAAGCAGCGGGCGCCCTGGACGCGCTGGGTATCTGCACCTCCCTGAGGCCGGGCCTTGCCGGGGCGAGGCGCCGCCGGGCGGGGCCGGCCTGCCTATTTTCCCCTCCGTGGCTGGCTGCCCACTGCTTCCCGCCCCTTCCCCCCCCCCCCCGCCCCGTTTTTTCGGCCCTGAAATTAATTTGTTAGGAGTAGCCTTGAAGACGAAATTAAACAGTCAAGACATTCAGGCCGCCCTCTACGCTGGGCAATTAGGACGCATCTAATAGGAGTAATCGGGCATTATAAGCAACCTTGACTGTTACGAATTTGGAAGAAAAAAAGAAAAGGGAAGAGGGAGGCCCGGGAGAGGGTGTGCCCCAACGTTGTCTTCAGCTGTTTTGGAGCGAAGTTCAGGCAGTAGGTAGTGCGGATTCCTAGGTTCTCCCGCCTCGCTGGGCGGGGTGCGGGGTAAAGAGCACAGGCCCTGGAGTATGAACGCCAGGCTATGCTGTTTACGAGCTGTGAGACTTTGGGCGACTCCCTTAACCTCTCTGGGCTTCAGTTTCTTCCTATCAAACGAAGGGGTTGAGACATGACCTTCTAAGGCCCTTGTCAGCTCTGGAACTTTAATCCTTCTGCAGAGATGATCCGGAGGAGCACCGTACTAGGAGTCAAGGAATTTGGGTTCTGGTCCAGGCTCTGCCTTAGTCTCGCTTTACCCAACTCTTACGTGTACCATCTGTACCCCCACAGGGTCCTTGTGAGGACCCAACGGGAAGATGTGTGAAGACTTATGCACTGTAACACATCACGGTTTCGGTCCTCAGTTTCCTTATCTTTAAAGTGGGGGTGTTGCTAAGAAAGAAAAATAGAGCCGGGAACTCAAAGCTTTCCCGGGGCTCTATATAAAGCGCTGGCGTTTCCGGGACGGCTGGCGGCATCTGGCCGCCCCAATGGCCCCAAGATACGGTAATCCCAAACAATACTCGGGGTCATTGTTTACAACTATAAAACACATTCTGTCCTGAGCTCCATCCCCAAGGACGCGCGCGAAGAGGCGAGGCTGGCCGGGCTCCTCGCACCTCCGCCGCCGCCTGCCTGGCAGAGTCCCCAACTCCCCCGGTCAGGGCGAGAAGTGTCGGGCAGACGGATGCGCGCACCCAGCGCGGGGGCTTGGCGTTTTTGTTTTTGACTTTTAAATCCTGCGTCCTGCCTGCCTGGGTGTGTTTACGCTCCTCTCTCAGCAGGACTGTGTAAATGCAGTCCTTTGACGCAAAACCGTTCAGCCCTTTCCCCAGCGGCAGCGGCAAAACCCAGAAAACTGGGGGTGGGGACGGTGGGGGGCGGGTGGAGCGCAGGAGAAGAAATCGTGACACTTTCTTCCTCGCTTCTCCGTCCCATCCCGCGCCACACGGCCCCCGGCCGCCTTGGCGAGCTCTTGGGGGGCTACAAAGGGAGTCGCGGTCTGGGCGTCCAGGGCCCTCCCGGGAGCAGCCGCGTGTCGAAGCGGCGCGAACAGACGCACTTTTAGTTTTCCTTTGAGCAGCAGCGGCTGCCCGGGCCTCCCCCGCCCCGCGCTTGAAAATCCGGATGCTTCTGCGTCTCTCCCACACAGTACTTCCAGTAATTCGGGGGGAAAGAAGGAGGGGGAAAGGGAGCGGGTTCTTCCTCGGTGGCCTCCGCCGTCCCGGGCGCGTCCAGGCCCGGGCAGGCGCCGCCGGGAGCGAGCGGGCAGGCGAGCGCACCCTAGCGCTCTCACCCGCCCCCGCCCTGCCAGCTCCCCAGCCCTTTCCTTTCTTGTGGGTTCCCGTAAAGCCCAGCAGCCCCGAGACGTCTGCAGAGCATCACGGAATCTGTGCTGATGCAAGTCGCTAGCCTCCCTTTGGTGCGCCCCGGCCTGCCTCGGAGCGCTTTGATCCCGGCCTTCCCCGACTCCAGAACTTGTGTTGGCTCCCTCTGCCCGCCGGGAGGCCTGCGTTCTGCAGCCTGCCTTCGCCCCTCAGTCCTGGAGCAGCAGACACAGAGCTGCGCCCGGTGCTATGGGCAGCTATGGGCTGGTGCAGCTGGTGCCTCGGACTAACTGTGAATGCCAAACCGAGAATTTAGCTTCCAAGCCCAGTTCACTGCCCCCTCCGGGGGGAATCATTCCAGGATCACCCAATTAGAAGGGATCCTCTGACTCCCAGGAATAGGATACTAAGAAGAATAGGGGCCAATCTTTCCTGAGCACTTACCAATAGTCAGGCCCCAGGCTGAATACTTCATGGGGATTGTCTCATGCAAGCCTCCGAACAAACGTTTGAGGTGGGTATTCTTCCCTGGTTGCAGATCAAGAAAGGGAGATTAAGTAACTTGACCAGGAGAATGAGTTAGAGGGTGAGTGACCCAGTTGGAAGTGCAGCTGGTCCTCTATGACTCCAGGCTCTTCCTAGGACATGTGTGACCTGCCTCCTACTGGAATGTCTTTGTTTCTCTCTTACTGGTCTCCAGAAAGCGTGGACTACCTCTGGTGCATGACTTTTCCTTCACTTAGAGGTTCTCCTTAATTCTCTGCCCAGCACTATCACTCAGGGTAAGGAAAGGTCATGTCATGTGAGGGAAGAGGAGGCGGTAAGCTGGGATGGGGAGAAAAGGGTAGCTTGTGCCGCCTTCTCATTGCCTCTCTGGGTCTTGGGACCTCCCTGCACTGAAGTTAGGTGTTTCCTCCTCTGTCCCTCCTGTCCAATGTTTGGCCCCGAAATGGTTGCCTGCTCTGGGCTGCAACTGGCCCGCACATCTGAGTGCTGGACAGTTCATGAAGCCCTTTCACATACATGGCCTCGTTTTTCCTCACGTTAACATCTGCGCCAGGGATGTAACAACAGTCAGGGTGACTCTGGATTGCCAAAGTGGAGGCCGAGGAGCAGAGTGGCAAGGCAGCCTCCTCAAGATCTCCCAACCCGTGGTTGCCAGAGCCCGAACTCAAGCCCATCTCACCTGACTTTACACCCAGCCTGTTATCCATGCTCCCGGGCTTGACAGGTCAGAAGCAGAGTCCATGGCTTAATAATACATGGTCCTTTATCCACCATGCCTGAGAGAATGCCATCATTTCTGTATTGTGAACCATACATGTTGATGATGTTTGAACGTTTCTGAAAGCCAGGTACATGCTATCATCAGTGACTATTTAATACGGAAGCGTTTCTGTTTGTCCCAAGATCTCTGGATCACTCAGGAGTCCATCAGGAAACAGACCTCAACCCGGATGGTTCAAAGGAAGAGGCTTTAAAAATGAAGCATCTTCACAGAGAAGTGTGAGCAGGGCTAAGAGAGCAACAAGGGATCTTGCCACACCCAGGGCCTAGTGACAGCTGGAAACGGTGACCATGCCCAGGGTTCAAAAGGGAAGGAAATACCGTTATTAGAACCTACTGCACACTGGGACCACGGAAGAAAGGCCATCCATCAGGATAAAGAGAAGCAACCCATGCCAGAAAGACACTGAGGAGGATGGAGGAAAGGATCCCAGACCATCTCTCCCGTCCCCTGTCAGCCTCCCAGGCACAGCGAAGGGCAAGGAAGGGTGAGCAGTGGATCTGGTGGGGGTGGGAAAGGCACACTCAGCAAATAAGGAATAACCAGCAAAGATGCGATTAAACCCAGATGTATCATCTCATGGGTGACATTTCAGGGTGGGGGAAATACAGTCAATCAGTAAGTCTCACATCTCACCCCGAGTCGGGGTAAACATGAGAATAACGCGCACAGCTTTTCAAGCTGCACCTCCCCTCCGTTTAAACGTCACTGATACATTCAGCCACTAATCCAGAGGGAATGTGTTGTATCGTTCAGGTGTGGGGCAGAAAGAAAGGCTGGGAACCACGGATCAGAAGAGATCAGCATCTGGAGGAAAGAGCTGGATGAATAAGCAAGGTTCACTCCTCCCTGTGGCCTTACACAACCTCCGTAACATTCCAAGAGGGGCCCACCAGCTTCAGTATTCTGAGGCATGACATGGGCCCTCACCCACTGTGATTCCCATTTCATGTATGGGATTCACACCAAGGAGGAGATGTGAAAGCAAGGAAGTCCAGAAACTATTGCTCTAGAGGCCGACCTAATAATAATATTAAAACGGAATGTTCTGCATCGGGGTGGTGGTTACATCTGTACATATGTGAAAAACCCATCAAGTTCTACCCCCGGATTAGGACATCTGTTTACTTTACTGTATGTTACCCTCAATTTAAAGAATACAAGCAGACAACCACAAGCCCTTCTGATCGCCTTAGACCACATTTAGCGTTATATTGAAGTCTGTGCAAGACTTCTCAGAAAACATAGGCAAAGGAGGCCTTTCTGGTCCCCACTTATGGCCCCTAGGAGACGCTGAGTAGTGACCGCCCTAGAAAGACTCAGGCAGAGAGAAGGTGCTTCCCCAGTTGCCCACATATGTGCGCGTGTGTGTGCGTGCGTGTGTGTGTGTGTGTTTAAGCCGGATACATTCCAGAGATAAGTTAACCAGTGCTATTATTCAGAAATATCTTTATGAGTCACGACAGAAGTTACCTCTGGTAGGAATGTTAGTTGGGTCTGGAAAGGAGGAACAGGACCGCTTTGCTCGCTTCCTCTTCTGGGTCTAAGATCTGCATGAGGAGAGGCAGCTCAGATTGGGCTTTGAGTTGAGAAGCAGAGGTCCAAGGATGGCCCTGCTATAGCCGGCTCTGTGACCTGGGCCAAGTCCCTTGATATCTCCAGGCCCCTGCTTTCTTCTCTGCCACCAAGAGGCTGGACTGAACATAGGCCCTGTCATAGGGCAAGGGATGCACAGAAGCCCTAAAGGGGGAAACTCTTTCCCTACCATTCCTCTATCCGGCATGAGTCTCCTGCCAGGCATCTTCAAGTCCCACATGAAAACACATCTCTCCCACCCTCCTATCCTGAGGACCCAGAAACCCAGCACGAGCTTCCCCACTCCTGCCCCATCCCAGGCCAGAGGCTCTAGGCAGGCTTCCTCCACTTCTAATCTGGTCAGAGCGTGGGACCCATCAGCCTGGCCCCAGGATTTGCCTAGCATGTAGAGGAAGGGGGAGGAGAAGCCTGAAGCCTGGATGGACGCTGCCTGCAGGCAGTTCACAATCTAGCTGAGAAAAATAAAGAGAACACACACAATAGTGCGGGCATGAAGCAACAACAATGGTGACACCTATCAAAACCTTTAATAGGGCTTCCCCTGTACCAGACAGTGTTTTAATTGTCGTATATATTAACTCGGTTAATATTCACAACAACTCTATGAGGTAGCTACAATCATCCCCATTCAACAGATGAGGAAAACGGACGTCAAGAGAGGTAAATTCACCCAAGATTCCAGAGCAAAAGAGAAAGAGTTGGAATTTGAACACCTGCATTCAGGCCCCAGACTCTTGGTATAGAAGGCGCTAACGAATCTTCCCCCTAGCTCTGCACGGAATCACGACAAACCATCTCTACACGCTTAGACACCCCACCCACCAGGGTGTCATCTGATCCTCTCAACAGCCTATGCAGTAGCCAGGACACACATTATGGGCCCTATTTTCCAGATAAAGAAACTGAGGTTCAGGAAAGGTAAGCCATGGGCTGAAGATCACACCCACCTTGCATGCAGAGCCAGGTGTACCCAGGTCTTCAGACGCCCATGTGCCAGGCCTTTGCTTTTCTCCTTCACGCGCTGGGTCCATAGCGGATACAGGAGGAGCTCAGAGAATGACCAAGAGCGGGCGGCCTCGTTGCTTGATCCAGGTCTCCTTCCTGGATCTCCTCCGTACTGAAAAACACGGGGATTAAATGACATAATGTTTGCATTTTGATTTAGAATATTTAAGCAAGGGGGGAAGCATATGTATTTTTTCACACACATATATGTATATGTGTGTCTATATATATTAGACACATACACAAAGTTAGCAAATATAACGAACAAAAGATGCCAGACACAAAGCAATACTGACTGTGTTGTCCCATTATATAATTTTTTAAAGGCAAAATGAATCTGTGATGTTAGAAGTCACTGCAGGTCAGGCAGAGTGGAGGGCGTGAGAGCTGAGTTCTGTTTCTTGGCTGGGTCAGGCTTACAGATGTGTTCACGTTGTGGAAACCCAGTGAGTTGTGCACACAAATTTGTATACTTGACTGGATGTATGTTTTAAACGTCAATAAATTTACCCTAAAATGCCCCCCGTGCACACATGCCCACGCACACGCACGTGTGCATGAGCGGGAGAGAGATCTGAATTATGATATATGTGAGAGGGAGAATGATCTGAGCCACATATGATCCTCCACTGACAATTTCCTAGAAGAAGACGCAACGGGAGCTACGGCCTCAAGCCTGAGTTTTCCAAACAAGTTTGAATGCTACCCTCAGGGGGAAGTTGTTTTGTTTGTATTTGCCTTACTCAGGAGACACAAATCATGGGCTACAGCCAGAGAATAAAAATCTAGCTTTAAGCTGATCACCCTGGTAGAGGATGGAAGGGAGGGGGAAGAGCCCAGCGTGGAGACTGAGAGGAGAGAGGTGGGGGGACCGCAGTGGGCGAGGGCCTGGGAGGGCAGCGTCCACGTTCAATGCTCCCACCCCCGCCCCCGCCGGGCAGTCCCCAGCACACCAACCGTCTGGGGCGTGCTCATGTGGAGGGGGCAGATGTGCACAGACTCACAGACACCCCAAGTACGACACACACAGAGGGGGCAGGCGCTGCCAGCACCCCTACTGAGCACCCCCTGGGTGTCAGCACACCCCGCCCCAGCACCCCTGTGGATCAGCTACTGTGGGTCACTGAGTGCATGGGCTGCCACGGGGACCCGCACCCCTAAAGACACACAGAACCCAAGGAGCGGTGGCCCTGTTATCTGCACAACGAGCACATCTCGCGATTGCCTGCCTCGGACAAGGAAGCACCTGAGAGGTAGGGGATGTTCCTGGAAGGAAGGGAGGGAGGGAGGGAGGGAAAGGGGGAGGAAAGAAGGAAGGAAGAAAGGAAGGAGGCAGGGAAGAAGGGACACCACTGGTTTTTCTTTTGAGGCAACTGAGATGTTTCAACAGCCCTAGGTGTGCAGGCGAAAGACAAGGTTTGAGTTCTGGCTCTGCTACTCAGAGCTGCAAACCCTTGACAAAATCATTTCATCTCTGTACACCTCATTCACTCATCTGCAAAGTGGGGCAGAGAATGCTGATTTGTGCAAGCTCAGTGCTCAGAAAGGGCCATGGGCTTAGATGAGAGAGGCCTGGCTTCCAATCCTGGCTCTGCTGCCTGAGAGCCAGGGGACCTTGGGCAGTTATTGAACCCCTCCAAGCCTCACTTTCCTGCCTTGTGATGTGGTGATGATGATAACACCAAGACCTCAGGGCCATGGTGAGGATTATGCATGCGTGCATTCATCTAAATATCTGTCCACTGTCTATTTATTTATACTCTGCTTATTCCCAAAAGGATTTCTGTAGCTATGGGGAAGATTCAGTGAAACAACACACAGGAAGGGCCTGACACAGGCATCCCATCCCTCTGCCGCATCCCTTTCTCTGCGTACCTCACAGGGTTGGGTTGAGGCTCCAGTGGGATAATGTTTCTGAAAATGTCTTGCAAACTAGGGAATTCGATACACACGACGGCTAGAGAAAGTGGAAAAGAAAGGAAGGATTTGGGGAAGCTGAGGCAGGAATGGACATCCAGCCACCTCACAGAGGAAGAGCTTGGGTTCTTGGAGCACTGAGGGTGCCCACCCACCACCAGCTAGGGGCCCATGTGCTTAATACATAAAGCAACTCTAGTAGGAGCCGTGGCTACAGGGTCCTGTAATGTCAGAGCTAGAAGGAACATGAGCGATCATGGGGTACAACCCCACCTCCCTACCCCATTTTACACATGTGGGAACCGAGGCTCAGAGAGGGAAACGGGCTTGCCTCACATCATCCAGGGCAGCAGAGGCAGAGCTGGGACCAGACTCACTTCCCGATGCAAAGTGCAGAGCACCATTTCCACTGCCCCACGAACCTGGTACGTTTCTCCTCACTCTGGTCTGGGGCACTCCGAAGCAGGTCTGCAGGCGCCTCACTTCCTGGGGTGAATTCTGGTAGCTCAAGGCAGGAAGGTTTGCTCCCTCCCCTGGTAAGTGTGCCTGGGGCCCCACCCGGATGACACACCCAGGGGCTCCTGAGCAGTGACTATAGCCAAGAGCAAACATAGAGCCTTATTGTTAGGGGCATCGATCCTGCACTGGGTTGGGCATTTCTTTATTATCACAGCTATTTCTTTTCATCAACAGAAGGCAAACATTCCCCACCCCAGTAACTGGAAGGCTACTACCTGTACCAGAGGATGGCTGATGTCTCTGGAGGCCGAGTTGGGAGCAGAACGAACCTACTTACATGGTCCTTCCATCCGATCCAATTCAGGCAAGGGTAGGAGGGACTCAGGCCCGACCTACGGGAGAACTGCCCACACCATCAGGACCCAGAGGCTGCGTTACTCAATACCTTCAAAAGCTGTGGGGTGGGATTGGGAGCCAGAGCTTGTTCTATTCCTCTTTGCCTCTCAACTTTTGGCAAGATACTAAACCTCCGCCTTGGTGTGATCGCCTGTAAAATATTAGGGGCTGTAAGGATTAAACAGAAGACATGTGAAAGCACCTAGCGTAGTGCCTGATATACGGGTGCTCAATAAACAGTCCTGGATCTGTGTCTGAGAGCATATGGTGAACCCGTATCTGCAGATGAAACCGTCAGGCCACAGCGGCTCCACACATTACAAGGTGGATCTGAGCTGGGTTGCCCCTTCTGGGGGAGGATAGTGGCCTGGCCGTAATCTCGCTTGGCGCCAGGGAAATAAACCTGGTGGCCTTCTCAGTCTCCTTATTTAGCTTTCGTGCCAACGTTCCCATCTTTCTTTTGGGCCCAGAGTTGGAGCCCTGCACCTCCACCCATCCCGTCCTCAGGCTCTCTCTCTCCTCTCCCCTTGGGACACACCTTCAGTCCCTTCTCTTCCCCCACCAGCCCCGTCTTTCCCGTGGGAGGCCTAGGTTTCTTCTTGCTCCCATTTCAGAAGATCCAACTTCTCTGGGATTTTTTTCCCCCAGCAAAGGTAGGAGGGATTTCGTTGGGACCTTTAGCAGAAAGCTCTGGAAGGGCAAGTTCCCAGGTAGCTTCCTCTAACGAGGGAGGGCCGAGCAGCTGGAGTCTGAGGTGGAGGTGAAGTTTGGATCCGAGGGATGTGGTGAGCATGTCCTGTGGGGCAGAGCAGCGGAAATGCTCTTTCCTCCGTGGCTTCCTCCCAAGGGCCCCCCGCAGGCCCGGGGCCCTTGGGAGGAGGCCTTCACCCGCAGCCTCGCCCAGGCTGTCTGCGGCTTGGGGGAAGGGCTTCTCATTTTCCAGATTCTTGACTCTCATCTTGTAATGGATCATTTGTTACTTCCAGCAAAATGCCTGGCAACAGCTCTGGGGATGGGAACCAAAGACTCGAACTCAACTGTTTGGTTTGACCTCAACAGACTGTGAAAGCTGGAAAGGATGCCCAGGCAACACAGAGACCGGTCCTCCTTCCAAAGCAGCACAGGACTTCTGCGGGGTGTTAAAAGAAAATGCTAGTCGATAAAACGACTCTATTTTCAAGTAAGTTTGGAAAAGACTGACTTCAGTGGGTTTCTCTACTCAGGACTTCTCCCAGGCTTTTGTAGGCCAGTGCAAATTATGAATGTCCAGGATGCATTTTCCAAAAGCGTCCCTTGGAAATAGCGATTCAGCCAGCCCTTTGGCATTATGGTGAGGAAACCGAGGCACAAGGTTCTAGGGACAGAGCCACCAGTGAGTCAAGGTCTCACGACCTCAGGGTCTATGCACTGTCTCTGACCCCAGGATTAAGCTGGCTCACCGTTTTCTGATTTTGTTTTTGCCTTGTAATCGGGGGCAGGAGGTAGTGGGAATAGAGTTTATTTATTTAGGTGTATTTTATGTGCTCTGAAGGACAGAACTAGGGCCAGTGGGTAGAGGTTCCTGTTGAGTGGAATTTCAACTCCACCCAAGTTAAGAACTTTAAAATAATTAGACCTGTCTGGACGCGAACTGAGCCAACCCATGAGGTAATGAGTTTCCCACCACTGGAGGGGTCCAACCCACGGCTGACTGACCACTGGGTGGGGTAACAGATGGCTCCCAAAAGATACGTCCAGGTCCACATCCCTGGATCCTCGGAATGTGGTCTTATTTGGAAAAAGGGTCTTTGCAGATGTGATGAAATGAAGGATTTCAACACGAGGAGGTCATCCTAGATCATCTGGATGGACCCTAAATCCAGTGACAAGGGTCCTTATGAGAGTGGGGCAGAGGGAGATCACACACACACAGGAGAAGCCGACGTGAAGACAGCGCAGAGACGATGCGCTAAGGCGACAGAACGCCGCAGCTGCCAGGGCCGGGAAGAGGCCCTGCCACACCTTGAGTTTGGACCTCAGGGCTCCAGGACTGTGAGAGAATAAATTTCTGTCATTTTAGGGCAGCAAGTTTGTGGCAATTTGTTACAGTAGCCACAGGATAAGGGTTAGGGATGCTGGCAAGGGCAGATAAGCACAGATGGGCCAGGGAGGCTTCCCCGAATGGCCCTCGGGCCTCTCCTGACCCTCTGCCCAGCGGTCGTCATGCCTCCAGGACACCTGTGACTCGGGGACTGGAAAGCTGTGCCAGGATTTTCCACCTGCCCCGGGAAGGGGGAGCCATCAGGGTCTAAGGCCTGAGCTAGGAAAAGCCAGTGGGGACAGCTTAGTGGCCGAACCCTGGCTGGTGCTCCCCACGGCCCCCAGCAAAGGCCCCCACTTTGGTGTCTTCAGCAGAGTGTCCCTTCAATTCAAAGAACCTATAAGCATCTCTACTAAGTGATCAGATGGCCTGTCAGACGGGGGCCCACGGGAGCTTCTGCGTCAACCAAGCAGGGTCTGCCTTGGGTCCTCTGCCTCAGTGACAGAAATCAGTTCCCCCCAACACACACACACACGCACGCACGCACGCACGGAAGGAGGGCCAGGCACGCACTCCGAGGACAGCCTGTTCCCTCACTGCTCCACGCATGCACGTCTACACGCATGCAGGGGCCCTGTGGCAACCGCCTCTCTGCTCCCGAGACAAGTGATAACACGCCTGCCGGCCCATCTCTTCTTGCTTCAGTCCCTGGCAGAGTAAGACCCAACCCAAGTTGCAGGGCACAGCAGGATAATTGCCAGGTAAAGGAGGCGGCTGAGGTTTGACTGTCTCAGCAACAATCTGGGGACACCTGGGGACAGGAGAGAGGGGGACTGAGGCCAGTGCCCCCCCTCAAAGCACCTGACTGCCCCCAAGACCTGCAGCCATCTGCAAAGCCAGTGTCGGCTGCTTTGTCCCTACAGCCGAGAGCCCAGCCCGCCGGGCACCTCCTGGCTGGCTGCCGCCTGCCTCCTTGGGGGGCAGGATGAGCTCTGCCCACCTGGGCGAGCCAGGCGGGGTGCTTGGCAGGAGCCCCAAGCCCGGCACACCTGTGCATGTGGCGGCCTAGCTCATGCAGAGCCCAGCTGGCCTTGGGAGTGAGGAGGGTCCCCCCTGCCCAACTGCAGTCACAAGAGGACACCCAGCTCCCCCCTAGCTCCCACCCCACACACCCAGGAACCCGGGATCTGGTCTCAGAGGCAGCCTCGCTTTACTTCCTGGTTCCCTCTTTCCACTTTCCAAATCCTCTACAGACTTACCCCAAACACGAGAGGGAACATGGCATTCTCCCCTCTCTAGGTCACAGACGCTTTGGTAACTGCGCCCGCGGGCGCTGTAAATGCTTGCAGGCTTGTTTTGCTCAGCTGGGCCAGGGGTGGGCTGAAGCCAGCCCCCAGCACCCCCCCCCACCCCGCCCCGTCCTCGATTGCCTTCTACCCCTCCTGTCACCACCCTAATTTCAGGCTCAACTGTGCGCGTTTAGGGCTTAATTAAACTCTTGTCTCGCTTTCAGAAGAGACATTTTCTGCCCCAGGGAGTTGCTACCGAGCTTTGTGAGGAAGGCAGGTCTGAGCAGGCTCTCAGGTGAAGATCTGCCTGGTGGGAGAAAAAACATCGCCTCCTAGAAGCTGCGGAGCTGTGGCCAAAGGGGAACCAGCAGGGCAGGAGGTGGGAGGCAGGGAGGCCCCAGCCTTGGCAGTGAGGCCGCCCCCCGGCACGGGGGGCCTCGCTGCCTCCGCAGCAGCCATTGCGTGCAGCACTCAATTATTGCAGGTCACGCTGTCCAGGTCACACTGTTCCCGTGCCCGCCCTGCCCTGCCCTGCCCAGCCAGCAGCAGCCTCCAGCGCCTCCCGCCCACTGCTGGCCGCACCCTGGACTCAGCATCCGAGATTCCTCCCTCGGGGCCAACGCCCCACCCCCAACCCAAGGGGCCTCGGGAAGAGGAAAAGGGCCCAGCGAGTGGGCTCTGTGATCCAGGCCCTCAACCCAGGTCGGGCCTGCCCAACACTGGTTCCAGGAGGGACTCTGTGGTATGGAACTTTCTAGAGAAATGTGTCTCAGGGAGAGGCCTGGGTCTGCCCCTTACTACTTAGGTGCCTTGAGATTACTTCCTCTTTCTGAGCCTCAGTTTCCTCATCTGTAGATTGGGAGTGCTCATATACCTCTCCCACAGGTGGGGAGGGGAATTGAAAGAGACAACACAGGAGAGAAAGTATTTTGTTAACTTGGGTAAAAGGCTGGGTCTTCCCTGGTGGCGCAGTGGTTGAGAGTCCGCCTGCCGATGCAGGGGACACGGGTTCGTGCCCCGGTCCGGGAGGATCCCACATGCCGCGGAGCGGCTGGGCCCGTGAGCCATGGCCGCTGAGCCTGCGCATCCGGAGCCTGTGCTCCGCAACGGGAGAGGCCACAACAGTGAAAGGCCCGCGGACCGTAAAAAAAAAAAAGACTGTACAAATATTAGGAAGTATTTCTATCAACATTAAGCAGGCAGTGAGCAAAACCACTGCTGGAGCTGCATTCCCGCCTCCACCCGCAGCCCCGCCGAATATCACTCCATGGTCCTCTTCCCACCCCGCGCCCTGCCCCCGACCCGTTCTACCCTGTGAGCACCGTGTCCCCTGCACGGCCCCCCACCCCGCCCCCATCTCCTCCATTTCTTTCCTCCAGCCTTCAAAGCCCCCTCAGGCGTTCCCCACAGACGTTACCAACAGGGAAACTGAGGCAAGGAGCAGGAAGACCCTTGTCCAGACCACACAGCTTGCTTGTGGGGGCCAGTGGTCAGAGCCTGGTCTCCAGACACCTTGCTCGGGCCCAAAGCTCCCACCGCTGTCACTGAGATGAATCTGCTTTATAACAAACTCTTTGGGTTCCTGTGAGGCAATCATTAAAAACAGACAAGATTCTGGGGAGTGTGGCTCTGAGTCAGGGTCTCAGGGACTGTCAGAGCTGGAAGGGACCTCAGAGGTCAACCCCCTTGGAGAACTGGGCCCCAGAGAGGGGCCCTAGCTGCCCAGTCACACGCCCTGGCCTGTGCCGGTGGGAAGGGACACCCTCAGCCCTCTGTCCCAGGAAGCCCGGTCCTGCCCAGAGGGTCCCCCAGGCAGGACATGGGAGGCTGCCCTAGAGGCCTGGAGGGAAGCCCATGGGCCACCGTCCCCAGGTGATCCCAGGTGACCATAGTGTTTATATCTTCTGAGAGCTTCCTTGTGGGATGAAAAAGAGCCCAGGACAGGAGGCTTTTCATCTTCCCCTGGGAGGACCTGCGTGCTGCCTCAGAGCACTTCAAAGCCCTTCCTGCCATGGTCTCATTCAGCCTCGCCCGAGCGCTGGGGTAGGGAGGGAGTCAGGGCTGGGGAACTCTGAGGACTTGAGGGTGGTGGGGGAAGGGAGAGGT